TCTTGGGAGAAGAGAAGTTGGTTGCTTGTTCTTCGTGTCTAGAAGTCCTGCTGCACAAAGGGAACGATGATGATTGAGAACAGTCACTGTGGATTTACTTTAGCAAGACTTCTCAGTCTGACACCCGTAATGTTCTCGCCTCTTGAGTTAGGAAGTTACCATCTGGACGGGTGGACAACTACATACTCTGCCTGGAGGCGGTTGTCAAGTGGCTGATCACTGGAGCCTATACAGTAATTTTTATGTTCTTAGCCTTGGCTAATATTATCTTAATATAATCTTATCTTTTCAGTTGTGTTTTTGAATCACGATAAACAGTGGATAGTCTTGAAAGACTAAGACAAAATTCTATAGTAAGGTTGGCAGAAAAGGTGGTACGTTTAGAAACACTACTTTTTGGGGAAAAAATATGTTGTAGCTTTCTTAAAACTGCGCTTTTCAGTGCCGTTTCAATGAAGTAGTTCTAACCCAGTCAATTATGAAGTCAGTGGAGAAAAAGCACAATGTCATAGTGCATTTGTACTAAAATACAATACTGTATTGAACTTGCCCATATTTCATGCTAAAGCTTCCATTTCTGCTTCCTTTGGTCAGGTTTTGTGAGGTTGTAAACTTAGAGTAGAAGTGAAAACTCATAATTTAAGTATTCTGTTAGGGCAAAAATACTCCGTTTGAGAAGAATCTTTCATTTGCTCTGCTGCTGCAAAGCTGCTTCTCTCAAAATGAAGTAACAAAAAACTTTCCAAGATACCGGGAGTGAGGAGTTTCTAGCATTTGGAAAACTCTTTCAGAACTGCAGTAAGTTACGAAATGAGCGACTAAAATTTCACTGCAGCTTTTGCACGGAAACAGCGCAGCAGAAGCGCACGTGTGCTGTGGCTGCCTGTGCCTGCACTGTTCGGCAGCTCTGCTGTCCCAGGAACCTTCTCTGTAGTGAGAGGAGGTCTGTTGGGAATCTTCCTAAGGTTCGGATATCAGTTAAGTTAGAAGGTTTTTGTGATCCACCATGAAACTTAGTACTCTCTTATTCAATGTATTGTCATAGCTAAATGTATTTAAATATAAACCTAAAAGTGAATTAGACTGCATTTCCTGGCTTCTGTTTGTAAGAATAAGTACAAAAGCTGTTAAAATGTTTAACAGCACTTAAATATAAAGTTTAAAAATTGATGGGAAAGGATAGAAAGAAAACTATTTTCTCCAAGAGTGAGGGTGTTTAATGTAAGCATTAGATAGGTGTGTGCCAATCATGGTGTCCAATACCTTCCATCTATAACAGATGTGTTCATAACACTGGGAAGTGCCCATAGCATCGTAGCAAAAATAAAAGCAGAGTTAATGCTTAATTACTTCCAAACTGGAAGTCTGTGTGTTCTCTTGTGTCTTGAACAATGTTTAGACGTTTTCAGTTGAATTATTCTTATTTGACTAAAAGACTTTGTTGCGTTATCTTTTAGTGTTGAGAAGTGTAGATATATGGATTCTAAAATGAAGCCTCTGTGGATAGTATACAACAACAAAATGTTTGGAGGAGATCTTGTAGGGATCATCTTCAAAAACGGTGATGGTAAGCAATGATAAAAATTTTAAATTTTCCCTTTTCCTTCTTCATTCCCACACTCCCATTTCAGCTGTGTTGCTCGGTGTTGCCATCATGTAACATGGTTTCCTCTAGCAGCGGTAAATAAATTAAGCATCTTCTGACTGGGTTTCAAAGTATAAACGTTAGTCATGATGATATAATTATGGTCAATCCCTTAATGAGTATTTTTAGATACCTTTTTCTGAAGGCCTTATAAGCATTTGAAAGTTTGACTACAATGCACGGAGAGACTGAAGGTTTCAACCTTTCGTTACAGATCTCCGACAGGACATGTTGACACTCCAGATTTTGCGTTTGATGGACATACTTTGGAAAGAAGCTGGTCTGGATCTCCGGTAAGGATCTCTTGAGGGCTTGTTTATTTGGATGGAGAGTCCACTTTCTTATTTCTCTTGGTCTTATTTCTTAAGGCCATCTGTGGTTTGTACAGCCATGGCCACAAATGACTCTATTACTGTCCAAATAAATTTTATACTTACGATCTATTTCCTACAAAATTTAAGGGAGGGATGTCATCCTTTAGTAACTGCATAACAGGCTTCATGAAGATGAGGGTCTTGGGAGAAGAGAAGTTGGTTGCTTGTGCTTCATGTCTAGAAGTCCTGAACGATGATGATTGAGAACAGTCACTGTGGATTTACTTTAGCAAGACTTCTCAGTCTGACACCCGTAATGTTCTCGCCTCTTGAGTTAGGAAGTTACCATCTGGACGGGTGGACAACTACATACTCTGCCTGGAGGCGGTTGTCAAGTGGCTGATCACTGGAGTCTGTACAGTAATTTTTATGTTCTTAGCCTTGGCTAATGTTATCTTAATCTTATATTTTCAGTTGTGTTTTTGAATCATGATAAACAGTGGATAGTCTTTCAAGAGTAAGACAAAATTCTATAGTAAAGTTGGCAGAAAAGGTGATATATTTAGAAACACTACTTTTTGGGGAAAGAATATGTTGTAGCTTTCTTAAAACTGCACTTTTCAGTGCTGTTTCAATGAGGTAATTCTAACGCAGTCAATTATGAAGTCAGTGGAGAAAAAGCACAATGTCATAGTGCATTTGTACTAAAATACTGAAGGGGTTTTCATGGTGTTGAACTTGCCCATATTTCATGCTAAAGCTTCCATTTCTGCTTCCTTTGGTCAGGTTTTGTGAGGTTGTAAACTTAGAGTAGAAGTGAAAACTCATAATTTAAGTATTCTGTTAGGGCAGAAATACTCCGTTTGAGAAGAATCTTTCATTTGCTCTGCTGCTGCAAAGCTGCTTCTCTCAAAATGAAGTAACAAAAAACTTTCCAAGATACCGGGAGTGAGGAGTTTCTAGCATTTGGAAAACTTGCTCAGAATGATGAGGAGGGATGTAGGATTTTAATTTATTTATTAGTTCATTAGTTAAGTGTCTAGGGCAATTCTTCCTCCCATGTAAGCTACTCATTGCTAATTACAAAACAAATGAAAAAGTGAACTCAACTATTTTTTGTAGTAGCCACTTTTTCTTCCCGCTGTGAGCAGTCGTCTTATCGCTGTTTATTCCCAACGACTTGGAGTCACTGTGAACACCTTCAGTTTACCTTCTGAAGTTCCACCCTGCGTTATTTTTGTGGTAAAACACTATTTGGATGTCAGAAAATATTTTTCAGACCCGAGATGTTTTTGTATCTTCCAAAGTCTCTTGCAAAGTAGCTTTCTTGCTTTCATTTTCTTGCTAAGGTGACCGTGGCTTCTTTGTAGGAACACTGGAGTATTCCAAAGAGAAACAGTATCAGACATTGTTCAATGTTATGATACAATCTTCTAATATGTGGGGGGCTTTTCCAGACAAATCTATTGACCAGCTTTAGCTAATGTAGTTCTCAAATTCTAATTTCTTTCTAGAAAAATAGTTCTAAAGATACCGGGTGTCACATTATTATAAACCATTGGGAAGCTATAAATTCAATTTTGTGTGCCTGTGAAAGAGCTGTAATCCTTTGTTTAATTTTTAAGTGCTGTTTATAAGGCTAGAAGTACTTATTTAAATATTACTTGAAATACTTAATTTATATTCTTTGAGGTGATTTCAGGTTTTTTTGTGGTTCAAGCATTAGTAGTTTGAGCTTCATAAGGCACTTAACATCAGCCCACACAGATAAGTAAAATCATAAACTTGTTATTTATGCTACTTATGGAAAGATTCCTTTGAGGGAAGTGTGGGGTAAAGTGGGTATGTATATAATAAATTGTTTCTGGAAGCGTCTGTTTGCGATGAGGTGGCTGAGTGTGTGTTAAGTTGAACACTGATTTGAGGAAACTCTAGATAATTTATGTCATTATAAATAGACTGTGAGGAGACTAATGGAGCATTTGGGGGCAAGGACAACCTCTGGCAGCTGTGGAATCCCAGATGAGGCATTCTTTGGTTGCTGCCTTCCCAGAAGCTTCGTTTGTGGTTTCAGCCTGGGCCACACACCGTGCCTAGCGAACAGGACTAGTGATTAGGAGTCATCAAATATGCTTTTCCTGACTAAGGCATTTTTTTTAAACTCAACAAAGGAAAACCAAAAAGTGGCTCTGTCCAAGATTTTTCATAAAACTCTCAGGAAAAGAAAAGTAGAAAGGGGAAGTTCCTAGTGAGAATTGAAGTTCTATAATTGGCTTCTTCCATTTATTTACTTAGATGGGAGCATCTTCCTTCCATTCATCCTCTCATAGTTATGATTATAAAATGCTGGGATTGAGGCAGGGTTACAATTCTCTCTCTATCAAAGAGAGATTAACCAGGCAGTTGCCAAGGGAAAGCTCTGAAATGGCCTTAATTGCAAGCAGGGTTGGACAAAGCAGCACTCTCAATGCCTGGAGCATGAGGATGCAGATAAGAGAGTGAGACTTTGTGATCTCCATGTTTGCAGTCTGTGTGCCTCTCAAGAAGGGGTGACTCCAAAATCTGTTAACAGCAGTGGTAATGAGCTCTGTTACCCCGTTCATGAATCTGAACCTGTTGGCTTGCTGCTTTTTGCTTGGGTAAGAGGCGTGGGGTCAGGTGAAAAAGTAGTGTCAAACAGATCTGCTTTCCTGAAAAATACCACTTCATGTGTCCGTACCAACGAGAGGAGTCTTCTTGCCCTGTGTCATCCACTGAGGCTTTAGTTTGCCTGAAGCTGTCACTTCCCTTTTTCCTTTTGTGGATGCATACTGGATTTTGTGCTTTCCTACTTTTTTCCCACTACAGTGTCTGATAATGCCGTTCAGGTGAAAGCAGGGCTTCTCACATTTCCCCACTGTAAGAGCAGAAGCACTTGCTGTTTGCCTCTCTCTTCCCATCAGTAATATCTCGCTACAAGCCAATGGTGCAGCTTCTATGGAGCATGGATCAAATGGCAGCCAATATGCTGCCATCGAGGGGTTTGGGGTAGGATCTGGTTCCTTGTAATGGCACGGCAATCCACAGCCACTCGTTTAGTAGTGATTTAAAATGAAATCTTAGCCCAGTCTGTATCTAAAGCAAGCCTGATATTCCCAGCGGGATTTCTCCGCTCTGGAGAGGAACACCAAATATATATTGTTTTTGAGATCTCCGAAGCTGAAGGAGGAGAAAGGTTTGCTTGTTTTTTTAACTGTCAACTGATTTGTCTCGTGGGTAAACTGGCCTCTTCCCCACGTGGTGCGTTCTCTTGTCTGGGTTCCTGTGTGTGTGCTCTGACAAAGCACCAGAATGAGACCAGGGATTGTTGGAAACGGAAATGGTGTTTGCAGGAGGACGCAGCAGTGCACTCCAGTAGGTCCTTCATCCTGGGTGGACTCTGGAGTGCAAAACTTAATAGAGCTTCCGATGTAAATTGCATCTGCTTCTCAGTGCAGCCTTGACTGTTAGACAGCCCAGACCATCACCCTGGAGCAGCGCTGCTCTGTCATTTAGAGAAGTCTGGCTCAGTTTACCCTACACATCAGTCAAGTACTAGAGAAAAATTAGAAAACCAAAAAAAGCATATTCTTTAATTAATCCCCGTACTTAAAAAAACCCCAGCTCAACCGATTAATTTCTAAGACAAACTATTACCTGAAAATTGAGCAGGAAATAGTTGGCCTAACACATCAGTAAGAATGTGCAGCTAAACTTCCTCAGTTCTTTCTGTAGCTTATCTCTAGTTGTTTTTTGTACTCTAAATATGGACAATTATGAAACAAATGCATTCAGTTAAACAGTTTTTATATTGAGATTGCAGAGTAATAAAATGAGACTTCCAGAGGTTCAGACCTCCTGAAAAAGTTACAGCTACGCAAGATATTTGGCTTAAAAATTCTATGCCTGAAGTCATGTGTATGGGCATACTAATAGTAGATGACCTAATTTCCTATTATTTCTGTGAGAAACACTTAATTATTACAAATATATGTCACAGCAGAGGAGCACAACACCTGTCTTCCCAAGTGTGCTGTGGGGTCTGCGGTGTTACACCTCATCAGAGAGTAATCCTTGCATCAAAAAGTATTTCTGCGGCTTTCCCTATGTTACAGCATGGAAATTGTGTTAAGGGGGAAATTATTAAAGTAGCAGAGCAACAGAAAATCCTGAGTTTGAGGAGTTTGATCTATGCTCAGTGACCTTTGCTGTGGTAAATTGTCATAAAAGTATTTAGTGCTTAGTTATTTTTTGGACGGATAGAGAGGAGTTCTCCAAACTACTTCTTCATTTCACTGCCTATTTAGAGTGAGTTTTCATTTTCACCTCCCCTAATGTGTGTGAAGGCTGACATTACGCCGCTGTGTATGAAATCAGAGTTTACAAACATATTGAAAAATATATTTGTTACAAGTCTAAAGAATGTCATTGTTTTTAAAGCATTGGACCTTTTGTTACGGAGAATGCATTGATAAATTACCAGAACTTGGTGTAGCATTTGGGAAGATACTGCTTTGGAGAATTAAACTCTTGTAATACAGAACAGTATTAAATGGGGGGAAGAAGAAAACTTTCTGTCCTGCTGTATCGATCTGCCCGTGGTCTTTACTGGCATTAAAAAGCAGGGAGCATATCCTGCTGACAGATGTTGAAGTCAGAGAGACCAGGATGAGATGGAAAGGGCCCAGAGGATTTGTCCCTAACTTGACTCCTGTCAAACTGTCTCTCTGACAAGGATGTTTTTTCCTCCAGTTGTAAGCACACAGTCCTCCAGGGGCTGAAGGCTTTCATCATTGCTTGCTTTTGAAGGGGAAGTTGTTGGACGTGTGCCCAGTTAAGCTGCAAGTAGGGTGGGTTGAAATGCCATGGAAGAAGGCCAGCGTGCACTTTAACCTGGCAATATTTGGCTTAACGTTTGTCGTGTCGTGATAAGGATGGGCAGTGCTTCCTCGTATCACGAACGCTGCTGTTCAGTCATCACAGATACCCTTCTGTCCCTTGTGAGAACACTCTGGTCTGGAGTGTTGGGGTTTTTAATTGGGAAATAGAGGAGAAACGGGAAGAAGCTTCCAAATCTGCACTTCTGTTTTGTTTTGAAGTTGGGTGTTCTTTAATTGCCCTGTTGAATCTGGTTTTAAGTTCCCGTTGTTGCCAGTAGAGAATCCCCAACTATATCATTATTAATACTTGTGACGCTTCGGTTGTATGTAACTGCTGAGGTAGAGAAGCAGTTCCATTACCTAATAGCTGTTATGCCAAAAAATTCCAATTAATTTTGTCTGGAATGTTATTTATTTTTCTTCCATGGCTTGGGATAATAGGCTGTGTCAGTTAAGAGATGTGGTTCTGCTTTGCAGCAATCAAACTTAATATCTGTTTTAGATATAAATACCCATGTCAGCTCCCCTAGCAGTGCTTTTCCTTCTATACACACACTTAAAAATTTTAATATGTCCTGCAGTTCTGTATCCAGCTTTGTGAGTGAGTGAGTGCTAGCCTGTGGCTTGTGCGCTGCAGTTAGTGCTGCACGGGCAGCCATTCCTTTACGCACGGATCCAAGGCCAGAATTGAGACATTAATCTGGACCCAGACACCTGGCACGAGAGCAGACACCTGGGTTTGTGATGCAGTGTCTTTGGAGGGTTTGCTTTAAGTTCCACTGAGCTCCCATCGAAGGTGCTGTTCCACTTGGCAATATGGGCATCTGGAGCGAGGAAGCATTTTGGAAAAATACACGTACTTAGGCACACCTCTCCTTGTTTCATAACTTTATCTGTGTCTATTTTAATGCAGTGGTATCGTTATAGGTATTTTTACTAGGCATAGCCTGTGAATGCACAGGAATATTCTTATATAGCAGGTGGGTTAAAAGATGTATTCTTGTTTTTCATTAAATTTCTATGCTTAAAATTAGTGAGAGTTGGAAAACATTATTTTACATTTATACTTAGAAGGATTTCTAGCACTTTAAGTTGAAATAGAAAGAATTGAGGGGAAAGGGCAAGATCCTCTTTTTCATTTACACAAAAATTTCAGTCTAGAATGAGCATGAGTGTAATTTACTGTCTGTTTAGGCAGTTAAATAACAAATGAAAATAAAGGGCTCCCTCTATGGTTGCTCCTATAACATTACAAGTAACTGGGGTCCCTAGTAAAAGGGAAGAATTGGAGTTGCTTATAGTTTCTTTTTTCCATACATGTACTAGGAAAAAATAATGTTTTAAATGTATTGCTAGTATTTTACTTTGTAAGCAATATTTGTATGTTAACCTTTGAGAGTTTAATGTACAAGTTAGCCCGATAATGTACAAGTTAGCCCCCTCAAAATATTGATACATTAAAGAAACATTCTTGCTATTTTTGTTTTTAACACAAATCTGTTTTGTTTCAGGATCTTGCCATACGGCTGTTTAGCAACTGGAGATCACTCTGGCCTTATTGAGGCTGTTTCTAGTTCAGAAACCATTGCTGACATTCAGTTAAATAGTAGCAACGTTGCTGCTGCTGCCGCCTTCAACAAAGATGCTCTCTTAAACTGGCTGAAGGAATACAATTTAGGGTAATTGCTACAGTTATTTTCTCTTCTATAGTATAAGCTACAAAATTCCTATAAGTTTCTATTTCAATATTGAGGATGTTTGCCTCTTCTGGCAGGTTTGTTACTACTTGATTTTCTAGTATGTCAAATCTTTGACTTAGATTCATGGTGCCCTTTGGAATTCAAACAACATTCCAGCTGAAATTCTGGCATTTGTAGCATTTTGACGGGATGTTGCTGAGTAAGCTGTACTAGATTTCACAAAACAAACCAACCCAAGAAAATTACACGTGTCTCAAGTCTCGACGTTGTTACTTTTATAATATTTGTATCTCAGATAATTTCATATTCATAATATTTGTCTTTCTCTTATTTTCCGTAGCTACTTTTTACAGTATTTTCTCTCAAATCATAGAATGGTTCAGGTTGGAAGGGACTTCAAAGATCATCTAGTTCCAACCCCCTGCCATGGACAGGGACACCTCCCACCAGACCAGGTTGCTCCAAGCCCCATCCAGCCTGGCCTTGAACACCTCCAGGGATGGGGCATCCACAACTCCCCTGGGCAACCTGTGCCAGTGTCTCACCACCCTCGCAGTAAATAATTTCTTCCTGATAGCTAATCTAAGTCTAACCCTCTTTCAGTTTACAACTGTCACCCCTTGTCCTGTTGCTACACTTCCTGATCTATGGGCTGAACAACCTCAACTCTCCCAGCCTGTCCTCACAGGAGAGGTGCTCCAGCCCTCTGATAGTCTTCTAGCCCAAATAAGTCTAGTTTTACAGCATCCTAAAAGGCTTCTAGTTTAAACAAGGAGAAATCCTTTTTTCTGAGGTCAAGGCACAAAATGAATTACCAGTAGTATGCACTAATAGTTTTGGTTTTGTTTGGTTTTTTTTAGAGATGACTTGGATCGAGCCATTGAAGAGTTTACTCTGTCTTGTGCTGGCTACTGTGTAGCTACTTATGTATTGGGAATTGGTGACAGACACAGTGACAATATCATGGTCAGAAAAAACGGTCAGGTAAAAATCTCTTCCACAGGCAGAATAACTACAGCGTCTCTGTTGTGCAAGAATTATCTTGAGAACTTTTAATTTCTTTAGTGTCTCAGTAAAATTAAAACCACATGTTGTTAGAATTGATGTCCTTGTTTACTAAGAATTGAAAAGAGCTTCAAAGAAAGGAAACATAAGGCTGGTGGAGGGACTGACCAATGCCTGTTCAGTCAGCAGTTCTGTATCAAATGAGGCTGTTCTACAGACCTTTTTCAGAACATCCAAAATGCCTGTTAATCCTTCAGGTTCATTGAATAAAAGCAGTCTTACAGTATCTTACAAAAGACTATCCTTAAAAAGATATGAATTGGAGTGTTGAGCAGTGTAGTTTTCCTGAAGTAAGTCTCTGCAGCCCAGCCCTGCAGAAATGTTTCACGTGGAACTCAATACCAGAATAATACTGAGTAGTAAGTCTTTGAGACTTTCTAAGTTTCAAAACCTAGGACCTAGATAAACTCTTAGAAATGTATTTTCCTCTTTAATTGTTAGGTTCTACTGTAACTGTTTGATTTTATTTAAATTATTCTGTCTATAAAACTAGCAAGGGTGAAAGAATGAATTTACGGTATTCTTTTAAGTTTTTATATACTGGAAGAAAGCTGAAATGCCCTTATCTTTGATTCTAAAATGGGAGAGCTGTCACAATTCCTTGAGATTAACTTAAGTTCTACCAGCCTTGCTCTTGACTTTATGTAGGAAGCCCTGTTAAGCCTCGTGGGCTCGATTTTCTCCCTGATGTTACCAACACGATGTCTGTTGGCAGATGTCAGAAGCTTAAACTTGAGATAGTCTTTTGCCCACTGATTTGTAGCAGTGGTCACTCGTAAGAGCGTGGATGTTATCACTGACTTCAAATAAATCTTGAAATGTTTTAAAACTATGCACTTGCAAAGGTTTGACATCGAGAGTAGTGATAGTGGGTTAAATGTACTTGATACCAGCACCCTGTGGAGATACTAGAAAAGTGAAATATCTCACTGAAGAAATAAATTTTCACTTCTGTTTTTTAGCTCTTTCATATAGATTTTGGGCATATTCTTGGGAACTTCAAGTCCAAGTTTGGAATTAAAAGGGAACGGGTACCTTTCATACTCACCTATGATTTCATTCATGTTATCCAACAAGGAAAAACAGGGAACACTGAAAAATTTGGTCGGTGAGTATTGTTTTGATCTCTTCCTTTTGTAACTGAGATGATCTCTGGTGATAATTTCCAGCACACCAGGAACCTATCTGGATTTGGTTTGCTCATTTGTGCTTGCAGGGAGGTGGGCTAACTGGCATTTACAGTAGGATCTACTTCTCTACCTGAGCTGGAATGTATGTACAAATTACTTCATACATCAGATGCTGCAGCTCTGCAGTGGAAAGACACAGCAGGAGATAGTAGATTCTTCTGGGCTCACTTGCTTTTTACTTTGAGGAGCCCTGGGCACTAGGGAGGGGTTCTCCAGACTGATGTTCAAGCGAGATGAAGCACTGGGCTTTTAGAAGCAGGCTCCCTTCTGCCCTTACAGTCAGTGCTCATCAGCCCTGGCCCGCTGGAGGTGCTTAGGCCTATAAAGCCACCAGCTCACAGTCCAACACTTTCCCATGCCCCTTCCCACCCTGGGTTAGAGAGAGCTGTGATGGAACATGGAAGCACACGACAAGGGAAGATTGTGAATCCTACTTGTTGAGCCAGATTTTTCTTTTTCCCTTCTGCATCGTTCCCACCAATCGATGGGAGGGGCATTCTGAATGTTTTGCTCTCACTTCGTTATCAGTTTTCACAGGAAGAATTTATTAACAGAGTTATGAAATGAAGCACTTAGGTATGGCTTGATAAATCTTATGACAACTTCTGGTAGAGGAAGCTGTACATATGTTTTTAATAGTGTGTCTAGGAAGAATGGAAATCAGCTGCCAGTGACCCATTTTTCTCCTGGAGAGTAAGGAAATTAACCTGTAGCTCCATTTTTAAAATCATGAAGTAAAGGCTGTTGGGTGACTGCTATTGCAAGAGCTGTGGACTATGGAGTACTTGAAATGGCAGTAGGATTCCACTTCCACTTGCCAAATGCCTCAGAAGAGAATTTATTCTTTGAAGTGTAACTTGCCATCTTAGTCTGAAGGGTTCTTCCCATTTCCTGTGGAAATCAACAGATTAGATACTGGACAGTGGCACGTTTGGGGACGTTGAGCAAGTTCTCAGGTGTCTGCGTGATGGGTCTTTACGCCAGACCTGGCAGTCGGTTTAATTTTGCCCATGTTTGCAGAAAGGAGGTACCTTACAGAGACAGGCTGGGTTGGTAGGTCCACTAGACAGGATCATCAGAGCATTTCACCTGACAAATTCTCAGGGAGACTGGGCTCTGGCATTACATTTGGCATTTTTTGCTCTTTCTGAAGAGCAGTGTTTTGTTTTTTTAAAAAAAGCTGTTGGTCTTTTGTACCGATGTTTTAAGGACTTGTTGGAAAGCCATGGGGTATTTTTGTTGGAATACATTGGAGGTTCTGTAGACATCTCTGTCCTTTCTGCTACTGTGTTCCTACGATAAGTGTGTTAGACCTGGTAACAATTTCTGGAAATCGTTACATGTATTTATCAACTGTCTTAAGTTCTCGTGTGTTGTCTCATTGCATGTGCTTTGTGGTTGAACATGAAGGTTCCGCCAGTATTGTGAAGAAGCGTACTTGATTCTGAGGAAACATGGAAACCTATTTATTACACTCTTTGCACTGATGTTAACTGCAGGGCTTCCGGAGCTAACCTCTGTCAAGGACATCCAGTATCTCAAGGTAAAGTAAGATTTACAGCCCAGCAGGACTGAATATTGATGCATATTTTTTTATTGTTTTCCCATTTCTCTCACGATTTCTGCATAGTTCTCAAAGCTTTCTTTTTCAGCTCTATAGAACAAGGTCTGTAGCCAGTCCTACTGGTCAAAGAAAACTAGGAATATATGTTCCTCTCAACCATTCTGTAATGAGTTCAGCATCCCTGCATCTTAAATGTACTCATTTGAGGGGTGTTTTATGTCTTGGCTTATGAGCAAGCATAGACCTGTGAAGGTGAAAATTATTTGCTTAATTCTTCCTTAGTTTTATCTTTAAACCCAGAAAATACCACTGATGTATTGCTTAATGAATAAAAGATGAAAAAGTGTCAAAACAGAAGAAACCAGAATGTGGTTTGTGTTGAAAGGTGCAGGAGGCCTTAACTCTGGCTTTTAAAATTCCTAACAGTACCTGTTTTCCTGTCACCTCAGGACTCTCTCGCCTTAGGGAAGAGTGAGGAAGAAGCACTAAAACAATTTAAGCAGAAGTTTGATGAAGCACTCCGGGAAAGCTGGACTACTAAAGTGAACTGGATGGCTCACACTGTTCGAAAAGATTACAGATCCTAGAAGATTTTTGTGTTTGCACTAAGCTGAATGTTACCTTGATAAGTGTTTTTAATGGCGAGCTGTAGAATGGACCAACAAAACTTATTTTATGTAAGGAAGAGAAGAAAACAAAACAACAACAACAAGAAACAGGCTGAAATAATTCCTGAGTCTTTTGCACTCTGCTTCTGAATGCTTGATTCCGAGACTGTCTCTACAAATAGTGAACATCCTGGATAATCAGTTCCTGCTGACTTTGCACGCTGAGAGCTACTAGGCATTTTAAAAAATTCTTTGGTACTTTATGGAGGTGTAAATATTTGTTTTTATACGTTAGGGTAATATACTCTAACATACTCAGGAGGTTTGAAGACCTCTGACAGATCTGTTCTTTGTTTAAAGTGAGGACTTGAAGAGTAAAATTTTTTTATATCCTAATCTGGCTAAAAATGACCATATTGTGTATATTTTTCATATGAACTCTGCCCTACTGGCACAGATGCATTAATTCTACTGTAAATAGCAACCACAGTATCATCGAACTACAGGGAGCTGCTTCCTCGTGTCTTATACTGCTGCCAAAAGTAGATATTTGTAAGATGGGGAGGGGGGAGAGACCTTTGAAAATGATGCAGTGTCCAGATGTTCAGGGTTACACAGTTTTGTTCCTGTGACATAACACACGCAAAAGGAGCCCTTCAGTAAGAGGAAGATTAGGCCAATTTCAACGACGTCTGAGAATCCCCCATTGGTAATGGTCTCCCATTGGCCTCTGGGGCTTTGTTTTCAACTCCCCAAAGAGGCACATTTATTTCAGGTTCGGCAAGAAGCTCCTGACAGCCTTACATGGAAATTCACGTGGAAAATTTTCATCAAATATACACATAGTGATCTTTAGAGCATACATACCAAAAACCCAAATGTTTGGAAAAGTGAGTTTATGGGAAAAGATCATTCCATAAAACACCAATGAGAAGTCATTAATCTTTTCTTTCTGTATTTATTAAAAGCTTGCAGTAATGTTGCTTTACCAAGATATATATGTTGAAGATGGTTGCTGAAGAAACTGGATTTGTTTTAATTTATTTAGTGAGGTACCAGGCTTTTAGGTGCTTAAATGGAGAGCAAATCTGTTACGTGCAATAGGGAACTGCTGGTTAAAAGATGTAACATACTGTTTCTGGATATCAGCAAGATAGACTTTAACTACTGCTTGTTCTCCAAGGAACACTGGTAGCTCTCAATTCTTGTTGACATTTGAAAGAGAATTAAACGTATATATATTTACTTTTTGACTAAACAGTTGTTTGGATAGAAATGTTGTTTTATGTAGGAATTTAATTAAAGGTGGTTTTACTTTGTCGAGAGTGATTTATTATTCCTTGTTGTTTTGGGGTTTTGTTGTTTCTTTTAAAGGTTGAGAACCTATCTGGAGCCAGGATTGGATTTATTTATAGTATTTATGGTGTAAGTGGTTTGATTCTCTTGTCCTCACCTTGGGGCTAAGCTGTCTGAAAAGACTTCTGCTTCTAGCATATTGTAAAAGTAACAGATAGTTTGTGATTTGGTTTGATGTTCTGGGGGGTTTGGGGGGTGGGGTTTTTTTTTTTTTTTGGTTGGTTGGTTGTTTTTTTTTATAATATAGTAGTGTTTAAAGTATGCCATGACCCTTTTAATTTTTTTTCTTTACTTTTAAAGCAGATGGGAGGAAGATTAAAAAGAACTACTTTGTAGGTGAACTCTGAAAAAAGTAATTTCATCCTCAGCTAATTCACGGCATATAAATTTGCATAAGTGACCGTTCCTGGACATGTTACATTTTCCCTCGAGACAGAGGACTCGGACATCTCTGGTGTGTTGTCTTGCTGAGGGAGATGTAGCCTTTTCCAGAACTCGAGATAAAGTTGGCAAGTTCCAAGTTGCACCCCAGGCAACAAGTCGTTCAAGTCTGTGCCTTGGATTCCCTTCTGCAAAAATGGAGAAGTAGCATTGACCTCCAGATGCAGAAACACCTTCCCTCAATTACCACCAGGATATTGCACAGAGTAAAGATGTTTTGTGGTGTGAGATTTTTTTGGATGTGACTTTAATGCAGGTTATAGATGTACACGGGCAGTGTGATTTGCTCACAGCTAGTGTTTAGAGGTGATAAGGGAGTACTACTGCTCAGGATTTGTGTTGGTTAATAGCCCTGGAATGGGTTATGTTGTATTTGATTGTCTTTACCTTCACTGCATTTACTCTTGGCAATTTATGAGCAAGTGTAGGGAAAGAAAGTTAGAGGCTTGTTAAATGATGTGTTTTCATGTTTGCCAGCAAAAGAAAATGATGCGTTTCCTCGTGTAAATTGAACTTACTTGGTCTTCAGATAGCTGAGAGTATAGCACATCTCACAAGAATGCTCAGGGATGAACCTTACATGAAGCAGTGTTTATAAGGTCACCAAGGTGAATTTTGTGCTACTTTCATGTTAAGTTTTGAGTGGAGTATACTGGTTTGCTGAATAATACAATTATACTGTATTGTTGAATTGCTGAATTGTAAAAGATCCTCACTTTCCTGGCTTCCCATCATCCACGCTACAGCTTGTGGCATACACATTTTCATTCAGAAAACAAATAAAAGAATGCATAAATGAACAGCTTCATGAAAAGGACGAGGAGAGATAGTCTGTCCTCCACATTTTGTCATCCAAGAGGAGAATACTGGAATTTTGTCACATAAGTCCATTAATTATTTCCCTACTTACCTCCCAATATCCAGCAAAATACTAAAATGGTAGGTTAATTTGGGCTGAGTGTGCTTGGTTTTTTTTCTTTTTCTGAGTGGTTGTTTTAGACTGTTTGCAGAATTCAGAAGGCATCAACTGGTCAGATTATACTATGAGAGTGTAAAGATTTTGTTCATAACAGTGAGTAGAAGCATAACCTTTTAAATGTGGAAGCTTTGGAAAGAATGTAGGTGTATGCAGCTGCAGAAAAGAAATGTAAGCTACAGCTTTGGTATGACACACCTTCAGTTCAGATGGTCCTCAGCTTCATTACTTTGTTCCAAGTCTACTTTTAATTGGTCTGCACATTTCCAGTGGAAAAATTACTTTTCTTAAACCAGTTCTGCTTTTCAGGGCCTTCATTGTATCTGACAGGAAAAGATACCAAGACAGTGCTTTATAAACAACAACTGAAACTGGCTTTGTGTGGTGTGTGCATTGTATAAATTTGTTCTGTTTTCCTTTTGATGGCATGATTACTTGATGGGTTTGCTTTCTTTACCTTGTATCGTTTCATTTGTGACAAATGGTGACAACTGCTGCTTTTACACTCCTGCTTGTCCTGTATTAGATTTCCAAGGAAAGAGCTTCCATGGATTTGCCCCTCACCAGTGGAGTTGCTTCCTTTCCCATTTATGCTTGTCTTGGGTTTATTGACAGTGATGTATTGATTGTAAAGTCATTCACATTCCAGCAAATGCCTCTGACAGCACCTATTCATATGTTTAATATAATAGAGTCTAGAGCTATTGGAATCAGATAATTAAATAGTACAAGTTCTTAATAATTAATATGTCAGGCTATGATGATAGATTTATTCTTTAGGAATGATTTCAAGCCTAAATCTTTTAAGTATGTTATCAGTATTTCTATTATGTTCGTCCACAATATATTGTACCAATTTAATTATATGTCTGAGCTGGCTTTAAAATCTAAAACTGAAATCCTGTGCTCACATAATGCTTTCCAGGTTTTGGCAAGTTTTCCTGAAATAATTTTTAAAGTAACTTGTCTGGCATAATACTGCTGAGAGATGAGGGAGCAGAGCTGTCCTGGTGCTAAGCAGGTTTTATTAGGTATTGCCATATGAGATGGTGATGCTGTGTCACTGTTGGGCCTCACAGTTTACATATGGCTGTGGGTTTTTTATAGACAAATGTGCCTCCTTCTGGCTTGGCTCACAAGATAAAAGTCAGACTAAGCTCAAGGTAGTGGTTTTATGGCCTGACCACGACAGCACACTGACTGCTGTTTCCAATACAAATCTGTTTTGTTTGAGGGCATGTCTGTCTGCCATTGACTGTTGGTGACATAGACTGGGCGTAAGGTTAATTGTGAAATTATTTCTGGGACTAGAATCAGTCACAGTAAGTTCATAATCATAAAATCTCAAGTGATTAAATGGACATAGGAACTGCTGATCTCTCGTATTTTGACATGTCAGTTTGGAAAACTAGCTCTGCCTTCCCTTAGCAAATTTATTTCGATGGCGTGGATGTGAAAGCTTCCTCCGACATCTTCTGTGGGAACAGCATGCGTAACCTCGTGCCCACGTGGGTCACTTACTTAGGGAGCACAGCTAAATATCCATCAGTTCAGGGGCTGGGGGGTCAGCAGAGCTGGATTTTCTGATGTTTCCATGGTGACACTGGGGACTTTTTCATATAAACCTGAGTGTGCGGAAGGAACAAACGTGGTCTGAGGAATACACAGTGCCAAGCAGATCTCTGAAAGAGATTTCAGTAGCCAGTCCAGGAAAGGTGCAGAAATTTTAATGGCTAATGCTATTGAGAAAACTCAAGTACTGTGCTGTTCATGCTACCTCAATGCATAATAAAAATCTTGTAGTTATTCTTTCCAGGCATGACTTCTTCATGAGTGATCAAGAAGAGGGCACGTGCTTCTGCCGGTGCTGACTAGGGAATTTATTGACCCTGCTCATATCACTAGCTGTTCTTCAAACAGTGGAGCAAAAGAGCATTAACTGCTTTTTCCTTTAATGAGCTACTAATGCATACTACTATTACTTGGATGCCTTTCCAGCCTAATAGTCCACATGAGGAACTTGCTGGCTGTCCTGTAGCAAGCCATATGGGAAAATTCTACCAGCCAGATGCTGATAAAACTTTACTTGTTTTGTCACCTCCAGAACAGTTGGCTAAATGCCGGCTCAACTATGTAACCTATTTTAACAGGTTTTACTGTATTGGACTGTCAGATTTAAAATAATGCTGCTGTGATGAGCTAGTCCTTCATCTTTTCAGTCTGTCACCTTGCTTTTCCTCAGGTGATTATCTGGAGAAGTTTCCCCTGGTATTGCGTGATGAAGAGGGATGGGGATGAATATATATATTTCTTAAGTAATGGCATGGCTGATTCTTGGGAAATCTGTGAAGGTACACAGTGTAAGAATAGCAGTCATAGAGGAAGGTAAAAGGTTAATTCTGGTTTACCAGACATCGTTTGGCTTTTATGAAGCAAATGAGCGGAATCGACAATCAAGCACCATGGAAACATGGTTTCTGAGGGATTACAATCCTGTAGCGCAAGGATGTTTGTAAGATCTAATTTTTGGCTTTAGAAGTGTATGTTTGGGCAGGAAGACTGGGCACTTGCTGGGAGTGCCCAGAACCCCTGAAGTCTGGGCAAAAATGAGGATGCTGATAGTGGTTCATTCCTATTTGTGAATCCTGCCTAAGGTTCTCCCCTATGTATCTTACCTAATGGGCTTTGCCCTGGGAGCGTGCTCTGGATGCGCGTTTGTTATCTGACCACCTGTACAACACGGGCAAAGCAGCTCATTCTAGTTTCTGAAATTGTCTCTTTGCCTCCTTTGCTTAAGGAGCATTGAGTGTTCCTTTGAGATATCACAAAGGGAGTTGAGCAGGATGCTCAACTCAGGATGCTCTGGAGTGTGGGAATGTTGTAGACATGACTGTGAATAACTCCTGTTGAAACCGTTTTCTGTGGCGGGGGGACCAACAGAAGAATGTCTGACATAGCTCAGTTAAAGTACTCCCTGGAGAGAGGGAAGAAAAAAAATAATCTGGATTCCAGTCCCCTTGCCAAACATTCATGGGAACAAAAATGGAACAGCTCCAAAAGGGGAGGAGGAAGAACAGAGAGAGTCCTTTCCCCTATGGGCTAGTGGCTTGGGAACTTAGGAAGAGGAGTGATGAAACAAAGGTCCAAACTTCCCAGCCCGTGTTCGGTGGGCTTGGCTAAATAAGAGATCCCTTAATATTAATGGCTATGTGAGACAGAGTCTGTTTAGCCTGTTCCCTACCACATGGCAAGGAGTTCATCCTGCATATAGAGTTGTGCTGGTTGGCATGGGAGGAGATGATACATGCAGTTAGGCTTGCGGTAATCTCCAGAGGCTACTTCTACACTAACCTGCACTTATGAATTCCATAAAGGTAAATAGTCTTGTGTATGCCTGGATCTTAATGCCACCTGGCATTACTGGCCTGTCACCATGCTGGTCTCCTGATCATCGCTGGGCAAGTCCTTCCATGCACTGTGAAGAGAATGAATGGAGACAGGCATCTCAAGGTGTGGGTTCCACTGGTATGCTTAAACTTTGAATACT